ACTACTACTACTACTACTACTACTACTACTACTACTACTACTACTACTACTACTACTACTACTACTACTACTACTACTACTACTACTACTACTACTACTACTACTACTACTACTACTACACTACTACTACTACTACTACTACTACTACTACTACTACTACTACTACTACTACTACTACTACTACTACTACTACTACTACTACTACTACTACTACTACTACTACTACTACTACTACTACTACTACTACTACTACTACTACTACTACTACTACTACTACTACTACTACTACTACTACTACTACTACTACTACTACTACTACTACTACTACTACTACTACTACTACTACTACTACTACTACTACTACTACGACTAGTAGGACGACTCAGCCACTTCGCAGCAACACGTGTACACCAACACTCAGCCACGACATATTTTAGCGACTTCGTCAAACTTAGCCACTTCAACTTCCTGTTTGCCGTTGCTCGTGCCGCTGCTCTCCCCTGCTCTCTTAGGCCTGCCGCAGCTGTGTGCATTTCCTGCTTGTGCTGCTCTCCCCTGTCTGCAGCTCCTGTTGCCTCTCGGCCAATTATGGAATAACCCTACTGCAGCTTCGCTGCTTATGTGCCTCAGGACCCGCCGCGCGCGCTCCTCTGCTGAGCCTCCTTGGGCTTTCGGAGGTGGGACCTCTGGGCTCCTCTTGGAGCCCTCTTTGAGCCCTCCAAGCAGCGCTTGGGCCCCAGAAGTGAACGATACCGAACACCACAATATATTCAGATGACCATGGCGATCTGAATATCTTTGCCGACCGTCTTGGAGCCCTGCCGAGCTCTCTTGGGGCCTTCTTGGAGTCACATTGGGCCTTCTTTGGGCCCTGCTGGGCCTTCTTGGGGCCCTGCGGGAGCCCGTCGAAGGCCTTAAGAGGCCCCCGAGGGCCCTTCCAAAATCCCAGGAAAATTCTCAGACTCTATGAAAACGGTGTCCGAGATTTTTTGGGGATTTTGGGGGCCCTCTTGGGACCTTCTTGGGGCCCTCTTGGAGCCATCTTGGGCCCTCTTGGGGCCCTGCCGGACCTTCTTGGGGCCCTGCGGGAGCCGTTCGAGGGCCTTAAGAGGCCCCTAAGGGCCCCTCCAAAATCCCAGAAAAATTTCAGACTCGATGAAGACGGTGTCTGAGATTTTTCTGGGATTTTGGGGGCCTTCTTGGGGCCTTCTTGGGGCCTTCTTGGAGTCATCTTGGGCCCTCTTGGGGCCCTGCCGGGCCTTCTTGGGGCCCTGCGGGAGCCCTTCGAGGGCCTTAAGAGGCCCTCAACGGCCCTTCCAAAATCCCAGGAAAATTTTAGACTTGATGAAGACGGTGTCTGAGATTCTTATGAGATTTTTGGGGCCCTCTTGGGGCCTTCTTGGGGCCCTCTTGGAGCCATCTTGGCCCCTCGTGGGGCCCTGCCGGGCCTTCTTGGGGCCCTGCAGGAGCCTTTCGAGGGCCTTAAGAGTCCAAGAGCAACATGCTCTGCTCACCGCCCTCCTCCTCCTCCTCCTCCTCCTCCTCCTCCTCCCTCTCTCCTCCTCTTCCTCCTCCCTCTCTCCTCCTCCTCCTCCTCCTCCTCCTCCTCCTCCTCCTCCTCCTCCTCCTCCTCCTCCTCCTCCTCCTCCTCCTCCTCCTCCTCCTCCTCCTCCTCCTCCTCCTCCTCCCCTCCTCCTCCTCCTCCTCCTCCTCCTCCTCCTCCTCCTCCTCCTCCTCTCTCCTCCTCCTCCTCCTCCTCCTCCTCTCCTCCTCCTCCTCCTCCTCCTCCTCCCTCCTCCTCCTCCTCCTCCTCCTCCTCCTCCTCCTCCTCCTCCTCCTCCTCCGCCCTGGCCCGTCCTGCAGGCGCGAGCTCTCAGAGCCCCGAATCATCAGGGGTAACTCGGGCCAGGGCTAGCTCGGGTTCGTTTCTCGGGGATCCGAACCCGACTTACCCCGGGCCCGAGTTACCCCGGATACTTCGGGCGTCCAGAGCCCCGAATCATCAGGGGTAACTCGGGTCAGGGGTAGCTCGGGTTCCTTTTTCGGGAAGCCAAACCCGAGTTACCCCGGACCCGAGTTACCCCGGATACTTCGGGCGCCCAAAGCTCAGCCAAGTCCGACGCGATGATCGAGGAGGTGTGGCCGACGACGCGCGACGCACCCACGTGGGCCATGGGCCTATCTCTTGTTGGCAACGTGCATGGCGTCGCAGAGCACAAGCGCACCGGGCCGGTCCCCTCGTCATCTCGGGTGGCCTCCAGGTCAGTCTTGAGGTGTCGGTGCGAGCTGCCCTTGACCTCCTTGAAGCGATGGACGTATCCATGGCGGGTGATGCAGCTGCCCTTGATGGGCCCCTGCCCCAGCCTCGCCACCGCCCCGCCCGACTTGATGATGAGGCCGTTGGGCATCATGTTCTCGGAGCTGCCTCCCCTCGCCCTCGCTTCATCCTTGACGCAGTCTGCGTCGACGGCTTCGGCTCCGTCTGGGCCGCGCCAGGTCAGAGCAGCACTCGGTTTACCGTCCAGGGCGACTTGCACGTCATGGCCCGTCTCGCTGCCTCGGACGAAGCCGCGCGTAGTCACGAAGACGATCGGGCAGTGCATCCAGGCCGTGCGCAAGACCCAGGAGACAATGCTGATCGTGGAGACGAGGAGGGCGATCGCTCCCGCCCTTGCCACGCTCAAGGCGAGCCATTGAAGCCGCGCCCAGTAGCGGCCACAAATGTGTTCACCCATCGCGTTCACCATGCCCGTGAGGAAAGCGATCACTTTGTTGAGCATAACACCCAGCGCATGCCCGACCTCTTCGCCCAGCCATTTGAGCGCCGTCTCGAACCATACGCTGGCCAGTGCAAGCCCGCCTGGCTCTGCGCCGACCCTTTCTGGCACGGCTTCGGGAGGGCGGTCTGGAGGTCGGGGTGCATTCTCATCTGCCACGCTCTCGCCTCCTCCAGCCGGCGGCTTCCCCCGCTGCGGCGGTGGCGCCTTCGCCCGCTGCGAGCGAGTGGCGTTGCCCGCCGATCGCAACGTCGCCGTACCCGGGCGCCGTTGCGGGGCGGGCGGCTGCTGCTCGCCCGCCTGAGGTCGCTCCGACTCTCTCGGCATCGCCTTTCCTCTGGCCGCAGTCCGGGCACAGCTGGCGCCGCGGGCCGCGTCTCCAGGGGCTGGCTCGGCGCCGCACCGTCTTCGTAGTAGTATGCGAGGTAGTAGTACTCCTCGCGGTTGGTGGCGCGCCCACCCGGGCCGGCCATGGCTGGCGGCGGGCTCGTAGTCGAGGGCGCCTCAGGGCGCCTCAGGCTGTGGCGCAGCCGCCTCCGGCTGCGTCGCCTCCGCGAGCAGCGCGGGGTCGGCTGGCTGGCCTTCCCCAGCCTCCTCTGCGCATCTGCTCGCCGCCTCTGGCTCCTCCCGCGCGTGGCCCTCGCTCGGCCCTGGCGCATAGCTGGCAGAGGCCGAGAAGGCAGCAGACAGCCCACAGCCCTTGTCGGCCCAGGAGGGGCCTGTGGGGTGGTGTTGCGTCTTTTTGCGTCGTCGCGGGAGTCGCGTATATTTTCGCGAGGATCAGGCCACCCTATATGCACGCTACACAACCCGCATAGTACAGATGGGCAATTTTCCCAAATGTACCCTTGCATCCTTCCTTGCCCTTTTCGGCCCATCGTAAGCGATTTTCTCTTGCTAGCTTCGTTCGGAAAACGTTCGCATGGGTTTCCAAGGCCCTTGCATCCTTACCGCGCATCCTTATGATACTGGTTGACTGTATATCCACGCTATATCTCCTCGCCGTCCCCGCCCTGCGCGGATAACCGGCATAAAGCCGAGGCCTTCCCCCCCGAAGGGGAGGAGGGGAGAGGGGGCGCTTCGGCAGCGTGGCTCCACTACTGAGGTTTCCGTGCGTTGGTAGCTTCAAGTGGTGCGACTTCTATTGAAGGTTTTTTCGGCGGGTCTTGGGAGACTCTCTAGGCCCCCTAGATGGGGTCGGAGTAGATGGGGTCGGAGGATCGCGCCGCATCGCCGATGCATCGGCGATGCGGCTCGATGCGGAGCCCGATTTTCTCCACGCTGGCGTCGCCGATGCACCGCCGACGTCGGCGATGCATCGCCGATACTTCGCCGATGCATCGCCGATGCATTGGCGATGCGGCGCGATCCTCCGACCCCATCTTCTCGGATCCCATCTAGGAGGCCTCTAGACATTTGGTTTTTATTGGGGTTTGCGAGCAGCCAATGTTGGCCTCGGCGGGCATGTATCCTCCTCCTGTTCCTCTTCCTCATCCCTGCTCCTTCTTCCTTGGCTCTCCTCCACCCGCGGCCCCAATGTGCGAACACCTCATAATGTTAAGGTTACAAGTTGCCAGTTCCCATTGGTGCCGGAGCGGATGCGTACCGTGCAGGCCGCGCAGGGCATGGTCATGGAGCCGCTTCCATAGGATTGTCCACCTACGGTCTCTGTGGGGGCTGTCGCATGGCCGCGCCGCGCCTATTTCGGCGCACCTCTCACACACCTCGTGGTCTCGGTGGGCGCCGCTGTATGGCGGCGCTGCCCCCACTTACGCACACCCCTCACACGCTTCGCGGCCCCATTCGGAACTCCACCTACGCCTCCAGCCTCCATTGCAGGGTCCACGTGTCTGCGCCGTCCATGTCGTCGAACGCCTCAAGGGTCGTGGCTCCATAGGGAGTCCACCTGCGGTCCCATTGGCAGGGTCTGCATGGTGCAGCCGCCCATGTCGCTGCACACTACTAGGAGGATCGTGGCTCCATAGGGAACTTCACCTACGGCTATAGTAGGAGGGTCCGCATGTTGGCGCGTCCATTTTGGCGCACCTCTCACACGCTTCGTAGACCCATTTGGAGCTCCTCCTGTCACCTCATTTCGCCCGCGTTGGCGTAGCTACCTTCTCCCCCCCTCCTCCTCCTCCGCCTCCTCCTCCTCCTGCGAGCCCCATATGTGGCCCCACTGTTAAAGTGTGCATGCGTTTCCCTGCGCTCGTCGGCGTACCAATGGAGCATGTGCCCACCGGGGAGCTCCTCTCCACATGCGGCCCCAGTGGAATTGTTCGCATGGGCCCCCATGAACATTTTTGTGCGTCGGCGGCGTAGGCAGAGTGACTGCGCTGGCGGGATGAGCATGTGTAGGGCATACAGATGCGAATTAAGCCGCGATGCATGTGGGGAGGAGGCCCCCCCCCAAACACACCCAGCTCGGCACCCCCCTCACGGGGACTGTGCATCGAGACGTGCATCATCATTGCTACAAGAAATCGCCACGGGCGCCAGGCTAGCTTATTGGGCTTACCTTCCCAGCACTGGCAGATGACGACTCTTCTCGCTTGTTTTTTTTCTCCCGTTCGTTTTACCTTCTTTACACCTCAGCGTTTGTGCGGCTTCTCGTTTTTGTTCGTGTTTCGTTTGTTCAGCTGTTCCATTCGTGTTTGTTTCCCCTCGCGTTGTCTTCTTCACACCTCAGCATTCGCGCGGCTTCTCGTGTTATCGTGTTTCGTTTGTTCAGTTGTTCCATTCGTTCTGGCTCGCAGAAGAGATTCTGGAGATCCGCGCTCGGCGCACGAGCGCGGGCGCGCGGCGCGCCACGTGGACGTGGGCACGCAGACGCGGACGCGCGGGGAAATACGGGCGCTTGCGCGTGCGCAGTTCGGGTCATCCGTTTTATTAGGCACTCGTTCTCGATTTGGTGCTTCGCCGGTTGGCCAGGGCCGCGCGTCGCCTTGGGCAGCCGAGTAGCTGGCATGCGTCGCGTTGGAGCGCTGGAACGGCCCCCGCCTGGCCAAGCCGAAGGCGGCCGTGCGGGAGGTGTTGTGGTCGTCGTCGTCGTCGTCGTGTTCTTTGTCGTCGTCGTCGTCGTCGCCCCGCCCGCCAGGCTGCGCTGGCGACCGCACGCTGGCCGCAAGGAGCTTTGTTGAAGACGATTAACGGAGGGGCTGCATGTTGCCAAATAATGTCCAGATGCCTAACACATGTTTCAAGCATGTCTCATAAGTGCTGGAGCATGTTTGAAACACTTCTTGCACATATATCCCGAACATGTAGAAGACACCTGAAGGAGACATTTCAGATGCCACGATAGAACGGTTAAGGCCTGGAGGTTGACACCAACACAAATATCGGCGGTGTGCCTCCGCCGAGGGAAGAATATTCCGATCTCGGTGATGGTGGTAATATTCTGGCTTCCAAGGTGGCCGAAATATTACCACCAATACCGAGATCTAGGATACTCTTCCCCCTGTGGAGGCAACCCCCTGTGTTGGTATTGGTGCTCATTTCCGGGCCTCCCATAGAGTTTCGATTGCCATGGCATCCGCAAAAGGAGCTCGTCGCCGCGGCCTTCCGGTCCCTGGGCGGCGGCGGCGGCTGGCTGGCCCCGGGGCGGCTGCGGGCCTTCGCGGAGGCGCCGCGGCCGCCCCCAGTGTTCCTCGCCGCGGCCTCGGGCGCGGCGGCGCCCCGCGCTATGCTCGTGCTGCTCCCTCTCGTGGTTCCGCTCGCTCGTCGTCGTTCTGCTGCTGCGGCTACCTCCCTCCTCGTCCTGCGCCTTCTCGTCATCCTCATCCTCGTCCCGCTCCCCCTCGCCCCGCTCCTCACCGTCCTGCTCGTCCCCCTGCTCCTCCCTCGTCCCACTTGTCCTGCTCGTCCATTGGCTCCTCCTCGTTCATCGTGAGTTCAGGCACGAGCTCAGGCTCCGATGGGTGTTGCACGTCGGTCTGCCTGTCGTTGGGCTCTTCTTCTCAGTCCTCCTAGTCCTCCTGTTACTCGCTCGTTATCCTGTTGTTCACGCCCGTGGCCTCTCTCTCTCTCTCCCTCCCTCCCTCCCTCTCTGTCTCTCTCTCTCTCTCTCTCTCTTTTTGTAGTTTTTTGTATCTCGTTTCTTATATCAATCTCTTCCTATATATTGATAGTCGTATTATGTCTTGTAGTATGTATGTATGTGCACACCTGTTTGTCTGCATGCGCACGTACTGCTGTGCATTACATAGCACTCCGCAGTTGCGGATAAGAGTGAGGGGGCGTCCACGTCGGCAATCCGCGAGGCTCTGAAGCAGCCCGCCGCAGGCGCTTCATTCGTTACGAAGCATACGACGAGCCTGGCGCAGGCGCCGATTTTTCTTAAAAGCAACCTGGGTGGGTCGCGGGTGGGTCGCGGGCGGGTCGCGTGTGCGGGTGGGTCGCGGGTGGGTCGCGGGCGGGTCGCGGGTGGGTCGCAGGGTGGGTCGCGGGCGGGTCGCGGGTGGGTCGCGGGTGGGTCGCAGGCGGGTCGCGGGTGGGACGCGGGATGGTCGCGAGTTGGTCGCGGGTGGGTCGCGGGTGGGTTGCGGGCTGGGTAGCAGGGGGGACGGCGACAACAACAAAACGCAGCGCAACAGCAACAAGCAGAATCCGCGCCGCGGAGTCCCAATTCAGCCACGCGTCCAGGGTCAGTGAATGACCGTTCGGCCCCTTCACTCTGATATGAGGCCTATCTCTCTTCTTTTCTCTCTTCAGATACTTCTCCCCTTTCTCCATATACGTGCATGCGTACATATGTATATGTGTATATATACATATATATACATATATATATATATATATATATATATATATATATATATACGCCGAAAAGACTGCATGTGCGCTTCGCGGCATGCACCTTGGCCCTTGGGCGGAAGGGCAGGAATGTAAAACCGACAATTTAGTGAAACCTCCTTGTTGCCTTCTGTGACATCACCGTTATCATGATGTGTTTCATCATCCTTCCCTCATGTTTCCTCTTCCTCTTCATCATTTCTGCCCCGCCCTGCGAATGATTCCCTATCCTCCTCAGCTCTTTTTGCGGAGGCTCCTCCTTGGAGAGCCTTCCTGTGGGCCCCGCGATAGTTTTTCAAGGGCTCCTTGGGGCCGTCTTGAGGCCTCCCGGGCGCCTTCTGGGGGCCTCTGGGCTGAGTGGGCCCCAGAAACGGCAGGGCCTTTTTTTTGAACCGTTTCCAAAACAGCGTCTCTTGAAGATGGAAGCGGTAACAAAGACGGCAACCGCAAACTGGAAAGGAACCAGAGCCGGAACAGGCAAAACACGGAAACGGAACCGGTAAAACCACAGCGTCGGAACCGGCAAAAAAAACCAAACGGAACCAGTAAACAATTTGCCATGTCGCTTCCAGGGGCCATTAATTTTGAGGCTTCCCAGGTGCCTTCTGTCCGAGCACAGTCTCTGACTACCACCACCAAGATCGAGAATAATATACGATGCGATTTGGTGCAGTTTTGCTCTGGTGAAAAGCCCGCAGTCCCCCCCCCCCCGCCGCCAACGGCAACCGGGCTGCCCCCTCTCTCTGAAGGACCAAAACAGAATTCATCAAAGCACGCGCGGCGGTGGTGTACATAATTTGGGTTGCCAAGGGGAGTGATTTTTATACACCACCACCAAGAAATGCTGTTTTTGCTTCAGGAACTCTTCATGCCACGGCGCCGGCGAGCTGCGCCGCGCTCCTTTTCGCCGTGGCGTCGCAGCGTCGTCTGGCATGACCCTGCCCCTGGCCCTTTTTGCGGAAAATTACTGTTGCGGGCGGTGGTGGTTTATACAGATTGGCCTCGCATTCTGGGGGCCTCTGGGGGCCTCCTCGGGCTATCCTGCTTCCAACCGCGGTCTCCTCGAACGACCAGGCCTCGACTTGGAGCGCGCTGTGGCGGGCGGGCACATTAGGGTGAAGTCGGGCATGTCCCCCCTACAGGAGGAACATGTAAACATAGTTCCATTATGTTTTGAAACTTATTTGCATATGTTCGACCATGTTTAAACGTTCGCCCAACATCCGCCTGCAGGAGGACATCTCTAAAGTGAGCTGGGACACGGGAGAGAGATAGCGAGCGTTTGTCCGTGGCCGCTTGGGCTCGAGCGGCCGGCCGCCAACATGTGACTTTGCTTTATTGCGAGGCATACTGTTTGCCATCGAGACCAAAAACATCATTCTCTTGAGATTGCCCGTCGCTCCCGCGACGACTTCCTCCGATTGGGATTATCGCTGCTACGATACAACAGAGCTGGAGCTGGGCTTCGCCTAAGGCGATGCTGCTGGTCGGGCCTCCCGGCCCCCTTCAGCAAACTGGGTAGCGGAGCTGGCTTATGGTGGTCAGGTCTCGCTCTACTCCTCACCATCCACGGCACTAGACTCTATCTGGTGGACTACTGACATGGTGGAACATCAGGGTGCACTGGGTGTGCGCGGAGGAATGTACATAACTACGCACAACCGCAAGGACACTTGCAGTGCTACCTTTGCCTTCGCGGAGGCCTCTTACTCGAGTCCTGCGTCCCTGCGCTACTACACTCCTGAAGTCCCCCACCTACTCACATGTACGTTTTTCATATAAAAAACACGCATGGCAACATGCGATGCGATATTGCGCCGCCTCCACCCCCACGCAGGCTTACAACAAAACGCAAACCCCAGCCACCAACATCCGAGCGCGACCTTCGAGGCCATTGGATTGGCATTTTTAAATACGTGGCCTTATCAGAGTCGCTATCGGGCGCGCTGTGGGACACATGCGTGGCGGAGACGAAACAAGAACAACCGGCCCCCGTTGGGACCCGGCAGGTCAAGTGCCCTTTTTTCCGCGAATTCGTTCGAGATGTACATGCCTGGATCAACGTGACCACAGGAAATGACGCCCTCCCAACAGGCTGCAGCATTGCAGCGTGGTCTGAGAGGTATCGCGCGGACCATAGCCATGAGAGTTCCCCCCGCAATCATCGTTTTTGGCGTTCACATTGGTGGCCGTCACGCCGATGGCGCCACCTACATCATGCTCCTCCTCAGCACGAAGTTCGAGGACTTCGCGGAGGAGCGCCAACTCAACTCGGGAACGGCTTTCATCGACTTTCGAGTCCTTGCGGGAGAACGGATCAAGCAGACATCGGCGCGCTTCGAGATAGCCCGTTATGAGGTTCAAACGGCATGCTTGAACAGCTCCGACGTACAAGTCCCGACAGTTATTCTGTTCAGAGCTTTTAGAGTGGGGGCGTCGCGTGCGTAAGAATTCCTACAGCCACTCAACCACCAAATGCCGAGGAATCAACAACAACTTGATTATTCTTGAACGCGCGAGGTCATGTGCTCGCATTGCTGAGCGAACCCCTGGCAATATTGGTGGTATCTTTAGCCGCGGTCACCGCGGTGAAACCTTGCATGCTGAAACCAATGCAGGGCAACCTGCTATAAACGTCGGGCACGGCGATCCGCAACCGACGGAGACCACCGCTCCATTGGCCCAAAATAGTGGTCCGGCTACGGGGTCGCAAGACTCCCGGGCCAGATATCAGGGGCCGCTGGCAACGGCGACCCCGCGCCAGCCACTGCCCTTGTAGGCTCAGCGGGGCGGCCCGCCGAGTCTGACTTCGACTCCGGAACCGACGCCGACGCGTCGTCCGACGACGAAGAACTTCAGAAGATGCCCGCGTATTTACCGAAGAACTTCAGGTTCAATGGTTGTTTCTGGGATATCAGAAACCGAAACGCAGATGGAGACGGCTTTTGAAGAAGCCTATTCGCATGGCACGACGTACTATCCGACGGGCACTTAGGGGAAAGGTAAGGGCCGAGGCAAGGGTAAAGGCAAACGACGGCGATTGCATGGCAGAGGTATGCTAGCATTCTTGGCCTCTCTTACTGGACCACAGCATGAAGGATTATTCCTGGGCGCAGGCAGGGGCCGCAGGCGCGCCTCGGGAAGAGGTGAGGGACGTCGGGGCAACCCGAAGGATGCTGGCGGTAAAACCATGGAATGTGACACCTGCCACGCGATCTCCGCCGTGAATGCCTCCCAGGCGATGGGAGAGGCAGGGGTCCGTCAATGGATTTGGCTCAAACCGATTCGGACATGCAGCATGCCGATTGGGGGACGCCATCGGCCGACCCTGCCAACAATCCCACCGCAGTTGTCAACTTCACGGCTGCCAAGTATCTAAGCGCCAGCATGTCCCTCGAGAGATGCGCCGATGAGCTCTTCGAGGAGATATCTGTTGGCCGCGAGGAGATGCACCTGACAGACTGGCTAGGCATGCCCATCGCGGGGCAACCTGCGCAGATCGAACTGGTTGAGGATTCCCATGCACCCGCCGACGTAGGTCATGCTATGGCGGGGGCACCCGCAGATTCTGAAGCTACAATTCCAGCGACAGAAGAAGAAATACAAATGATGCTTTATTCTCACGTCAATCGCAATCCGACAAACATAAACCCATATGAGGATGATCATTCGCGGGGGAGCCCGCGAGATGCTGGCGACTTTTCAGAACGCATCCAGCGCGAACTTGGACAGTATGAAGGTCATTTCACGTTCGTGGCTCATGGGCGGTCTCCGAGCCGCCATGAGCGATCAGCCAGTCGCCATGTCTGGAGACGCGCGAATCGCCCAGAT